CTCCCTGGGAGGGGCCGCGTTGTCCCCGACGCTAAGACCAGGCACCAGGGGCGAGGTGGGGTTTCAGAGAGAGTCGCCCACTCTTGGGGCAGAGGGAGGGTTCCCAGCAAGCCCGGGACCGGCACAGAGGACCTGTGGCCACCAAAATAACCTGCCGCGCGCGTGCTCAGCAGAGGTTCCCAGAGAGGAGCGTCTGGCTCCTTCTCTGTCTTTCCTGGGACCTCTCGGAGGTGAGTTGCCGGCGGGCGCCCAGCTCTGGGGTTGGCCTGGGCGGAGCGAGTGCTGGGGCCTCTGTGTCCTTCGTTCTGGGTCCTGCTGACCCTGGGCCGGCAGTGTGTGTGGTCCTGCTGGAAGAGTGGGGACAGACCCCAGGGAGAGGGCGGGAACCCCAACACTGCACTGTGGAAGAGCAATGTGATGGCTGGCAGACACGCCCAGCCCTTGGGGTCCCCTTCGCGTGGCTTCCCGCGTGTTAACGCACCCGATGTGGGGTGGTCCCTGTGAACTCCCCGCGTGCCTCCTGTCAGAGATCCTCCGCTTAGGACGGAGGCGCTTTTCTAACCCCAAAGTGAGGTTCAGGGGACTTCGGTTGGTCTGTCTGCGGAGAGAGGTGGGTCTCTCCCTGTGGCCGTGCGGCGAGGGTGGCCGGGCTCCCTGCGGAGGCTCCGGCGTTCCGAGCGCGGCCCCGCGGTGATGACGCCCACAGCACCCTCCCCGTCCTGTGCCCGGTGGCGGCAGGTGGATGTGGGGCGAGGGGCAGTCACTCCAGACCAGGTTTGTGTGTGAGGTTAGGCTGCTGACCGTCAGATGTCCGGTGGAGGCCGGGTTCTCGTGGGGAGAGGGTAGCTTCCCGGGTTGCAGAGATGCGTCGGCCCCTCAGAACAGGATCATCAACCTTGCCTTTCAGAGAGGGGGTCTCTGTTGGCGCGTGGACACCTCTCGAGGATAAAGTGGATGCGGCCAGTGTCTCAGCGCAGTGCGGGGCACGCCCGGGGCGCTGGCCCAAAGCAGCCGGTTCCCTGATTCCCACTGTCTCTCCACAAGTGAGAGGTGCCGGTGAACCGGAACCTGGACACCTGGAGCGGCCTGTGACCTCAGAGCCGCGACGTCCGGCTGGTCCGTCTGCCGCCGGGGTGACCGTCGGGCTGTCCTGGGCTGTCCTGGGCACGTCGCCTCTCTGTCTGCTGCCCTCAGTTTCCCTCCCGGTGCTCGAGGGAACGAAACAGGGACAGCGAGGGGGGCTGCTGCTCCGTCGGGGAGCCCGTCCCGCCCTCGGCGGCCCATCTGGAAGGGGCTCCAAGTCCCAGGTCTTTTCTTTCTTAATTTCTTTTCTTTATTGACATTAGCGAGAGAGGAAGGGAGAGGGAGAGAGAGAGAAACATGGATGACAGAGATCATCGAGTGGCCGCCTCCTGCACACCCCCGTGGGGATCGGGCCCACAACCTGGGCCTGTGTCCTGACCGGGAATCGAACCGACAGCCTCTTGGTGCAGGGTCGACGCTCAGCCCCTGAGCCCCACCAGCCGGGCTATTCGGACACATTTAAAAGGATACGAATAAGTGGAGAAAGTCATTCACAGACGGGAAGAAACCGTCACTGAGGTGTCAGACCTTCCGACTTTGTCTCACATTAGGATTTCCGCCGACAGACCAGCAGGTGCTCTTCACGGAGCCCGCGGGCTTGAGCAGAGAGTGTGAGCGGCCAGGGCCGCTGCCCGGCCGTCGCCGGTGTGGCTGGGACGAGGCCAGAGAGTGTGGTCAGTGGGGAGAGGGTCAGGAGGGCTTCCCACGCACGGGACCCTTTGTGCCACATCCCGACATCGGGTCCTGGTGGGTCCGGACTGGCCGGGACACAGGCCCTGGGAGACAGTGGACACATGCTTTCCGACGTTTCCGGCTCTCATGCTCCGTTCCTCATGTCTGCTTTGCCTTCTTGGGTCATGTAAGCATTTGGGGCGCCTCCCTGGGGTGCTGGGGACATGTAGCCTGCTTGGCCCAGGCGGGCGCTACCCAAGGGGAGAACCAGGGACCACCGAGGTTGGCAGGACCCTCAGTGGGACTGGCCCGCCAGGCAGACGCAGTGCGAAGCCCCCGGGGCAGGGCGTGGCGGGGTCACGTGCCCTGAGGTCAGTGCGCCCCCCAGCTCTGCCCTCCTCTCCACGTGGCCCCCGGGAGCTCGGCCACCCCCCCCACACACACACACCACACGCCCTTTGGGTTTCCCGTCCTTCGACCCGACGTGACGACATTCCCCTGTGAGGGGCACTGGGTGTGAGGGGGAGGGTCTCCCCGGGTCCACAGCAGGGCCCCCCGCACAGCTCCGCTCGGCCGGGACTGTGTCCTCCTCCACCATGTGGGAGACGGGCCTGAGCGGAGAAACGGACGTCCAGTGGGGTCCCGGTTGCCGTGAACCGTTCTCCCGGCATTTCCGTGTGTCGTGTGTGCTGCGGGTCAGAGGGAGGGGGGCCGTGGTTTTCTGAGGGGTGCTCACCGAAGGCGTGACCTCGCGCTGAGCACGGGTTCACGCGCGGGGCTGACCGGAGGGTTTGCGAGAGGAAGCGCCGGACCCGGGGTGCGTGCGGGCTCATGCGCTGGTCCCTGCTCCCCGGGTGTTGGGAGCATGTTGGGGCCGGAGGTGCGGGCTCTGCTTTTCCCGTCTTTTTAGGGTTTTCGCCAGTTAATTCCCAGTCTGTCTGGCGGCCGGCCCGACGTTCCTCTGCTTCCAAGGAGGCTGGTCAATGGCAGGTTGTTCTCGCACAATTAACAGAAGATGACAGAACGGGGCTCCCTTCAAAGAAAACCCTGTTCTAGAGCTTCCCATGCAAAGTCCTGCGTTTTGGAAAATTATACTTTTACTTAAGAGCCAAACAGCAGGAAAAGGACTGTTTTATCGACGGAATGTCCCGCGTAAACCTCCTGGTGACCGTCACCAGCGATTGATTGTGAGACAGTGGTTTCTGTACCTTCCTGGGGTCTTCCTGTCACCAAGGAGCCAGGGGGGCGTGCGTGTTTGGGTGGTGGCCTTTCTCCGTGTCACACGCACCGCGAGCACCGTCAGTGAGTGTGGATCGGAGCTGTGCCCGGGGTAACTGCTGTCCGCCCCCCGCCCCCCATTCTCACCGCAGGGCTGCTCCCTCCACCTGGGCCTCGGGCCTCTGGCGGGACCGCAGGCTCCGGGCACAGCCAGCCAGTGGGTCCCCTCTCTTCCTGTCAACATCCACGTGATGTAAACAGTGGACAGCGGGGAGCCAACGTCATCCGGCCCCCCCAGCCCTCCCCCGGCGAGGGCGTAAAAATAGCCCTCGGGGAGGAGTCTGTGACCCTCCCTCGCCCGGCTCTGGGGAAGGGAAGGGGAAGCGGGGTGTCCACACCCCCAGGAGGCACAGGACACGGCGGGCACCAGGGAAAACCAGGAAGTGACGGGTCAGAGTCGCAGAGGGAGCGTGGCCTCCTGGGTGCCGGCAGGGGAGGCGGGGGCAGCTTTTCGGGGAGATGCGGGGCCCAGAGCAGGTCAGCACTGATGTGCGGGGGGTCTCTGTGGGCTTTATCCCCCGACATTGTATGCTCGTCCCTGTGTGGCCACACCCAGGACGCTGTGTGACTGCCCAGACCCCTCTCGGACGTGATGAGGGACCGGTGTGCCCATGGTGGTGTCGGCGCAGAGGTGGCCCAGGTGGGCACAGGCCCAGGCGGGAGGTTCACGGATCTCCGGCGAGACCCCTCGCAGGCGGGAAAGCCCACGGCTCCGACTGCCGGGGCCTCCTGGCGGGGGGCCGGAGCTGGGCCCTGCAGCTGGGCCGCGTCAGCCCTCGTGGCCCCGGCACCCACAGCCGAACTGTGACCAGAGCGCGAAACCACCACCTCTGCTCAGGGCAGCACCTTCTGGAAACAGGCGAAGCGCACAGAGGGGTGGTGGCCGGCGGGTCTGACCCCGGGACAGCGGCGTCTGTCTGCACCCCGCCCCGTGGGGGCCCTTCAGCCCTGAGAGCCCACAGCCCTTCCTGGTCCCCGCACTGGGCGTGGCCTGTGAGCTCGGGGAGACGCCCCGTAGGGAGCCTGCTGGGTGCCGCCCCCCCTCTGCGCCCCTTTCTCTGAGCTCTCGGCCTTCGCGTCCTGGCTGCCTCGGTAGCTCTGAACCCCAGTTTCTATCTCCCCAGAACCGTGGGGCTGCACAGCCCTGACCGCGGGCTTCTGTTTGGCCTCCGTTCCCCCTGCTCCCAAGTGGACCGGCCTGAGGCCGGAGAGGCTGTCTGACCCGCCTCCGGCCCACCCTTCTGGCCCTTCCTCTCACCGTGGTCCCCGTTTTCAAGCAGAATGACTGGGGTCTCTCTGCGTCGTTTCCTTGGCATGGCCGTCCTGGGGCTCTGGCAGAGCTAAGGCGAGGTTTTCAAAGTGCCAGACGCAGGAGGGATGCGGGGGGATGCGGGGGGATGCGGGGCCGCGGTCGTGAGCACCTCCTCGGGAGGGTGTGAAATTCCATGGGAGATGTGGCCGTAGCGTCACCCAGGCGGCTGTGCGAGGCCCTTGATGTCTCGCGTCCTGCGTGACAGGGGCCGGGCTGCACCTCTTGGTGTGAGGACACCAGTGGGCAGGGCCGCAGGTGGCCTTGCGCCCGGAGAGCAGGGGCCTGGGTGTGAGCTGAGGTACAGGGCTGTGTGCCCCCCTAGCCAGCACCTGGCGGCACCTCGTGGAAAGTAGGGGAAGGCCTCCGCGCCCCAGAGCGAGAGAAGTCCTGGTCTTCGCGGGACGTCAGTCACTCAGGGCAAACTGGTCTTCGGGTGGAGACCTGTGCCCCCTCCGGGGTTGCAGGGCCGTCCCCAGCTGGCACAGTGGGGACGGCAGCTCCCCTTCCATCCTGGGAGCTGGGAGCTGGGAGCAGGGCTGACGTGAGGTCCTCTGTGTGTGGACCTTGCCAGTGGACGCGGTCCACACCCAGTGGGCCTGGCACCCGCTTCACCCACGAGGACAGTAACCAGGCCCCTCTGCTCTGTGTCCTGCAGAACCTCGAGGCTGCCCTGAGGTCCTCCGTCACTCTGTGGGGATGTCAGAGAGCCCCGTGGGACCCAAACCCTCGGCTCCGTCCTTCCCACAGGCCTTCTCGTCCTCCTGCACCATCTCCAGCAGCAGCCCCAGCTCTCGGAGGGACAGGTCAGCAGGGGGCTGCCGTGGTCCGGGCCGAGGGAGGCGGGGCTGCCGTGGTCCGGGCTGTGGGAGGAGGGGCTGCCGTGGTCCGGGCCGTGGGAGGAGGGGCTGCCGTGACCGGGCCGAGGGAGGAGGGGCTGCCGTGGTCCGGGCCGTGGGAGGAGGGGCTGCCGTGGTCCGGGCCGAGGGAGGAGGGGCTGCCGTGGTCCGGGCCGAGGGAGGAGGGGCTGCCGTGGTCTGGGCCCAGGGAGGAGGGGCTGCCGTGGTCCGGGCCGTGGGAGGAGGGGCTGCCGTGGTCCGGGCCGTGGGAGGAGGGGCTGCCGTGGTCCGGGCCGTGGGAGGCGGGGCTGCTGTGGTCCGGGCCGAGGGAGGAGGGGCTGCCGTGGTCCGGGCCGTGGCTCACCCATGGATGGCCTTGGGTCCACTCTGACTGGTTTGTCTCCTGAACAGCCCCCCGTCTGCTGAGCACCAGTGGGTGGACACCAGCCCCAAACCAGCGCAGGCCCTGCTGGGGAGCAGCCGGCCCCCAGGAAGCCTCCTCTGCACCAGCGAGTTCCCCGGCTCTGGCCAGGACGGCCCCATCCCTGGGCGGCCACAGCGCTCGCCGGCTGAGCTCCAGGCCTCTTTCCACAGCCACACACTGTCGCTGGCGGAGCGGCCGGAGGCGCTGGGTGCCCTGAGCAGCCAGGCCTTCCTGGGCTTCAGCTCGGCCCCCGTGGGAAGCAGCCTGCCCCCCAGGGAGGACCCGGGGGCCCTGCTGGCCAGTTCCCACGCAGCGGCCCAGCCCCTCGGCACCCCGCGGACAGCGGCGGGGGCCGTCGACAATGGCTTCCTGCCCCACAGCTTTCTCACGGCGGGGCCTGGACACAGCGGCCACCACAGCCCTGTCCTGCAGGGCCCGGGCCTGTCCCTGCCCGGGCAGCCGCCCCTTCCCGAGAAGAAGCGGGCCTCGGAGGGGGACCACTCCTTCGGGTCCGTCTCGCCGTCCTCCAGCGGCTTCTCCAGCCCCCACAGCGGGAGCACCATGAGCATCCCCTTCCCGAACGTGCTGCCGGACTTCTCCAAGCCTCCTGAGGCAGCGGCTCCTTCTCCGGGTACGTGTGTCTCTCGGGCGGGCGGCCCCTCTGGCCACTCGGGCACGCGGAAAGGACCCCGGGTTCACGCAGGGTCTGGGAGCCAGCGCTGGGCCGGGCGCCGCAGAGACACATCGGCAGGTCTCAGCCTCTCTGGTCTTCTAGCCCGAAACACCAACCGGCCCTTCCGAGTCTCCTCGGCTCCCGCGTCTGTCCTCATGGGTCCATCCTGACAGCCGAAGGGCAGGCGTCTGCCCTGGTGGCGTTTCTCCGTGCACGCGGAACCAGTGTCCTTGGGAAATAACTTTGTGTTTCGAATTGAACGCACACACTGGACGCTGATTCTGAGCTGTGTTACGTTGTGAGGTCCTGGCACCGGGGGCGTGACCGGCCTCACTCCGCTCCCGTCGTCTTTTTGTTTGTTTCTAATTTATTTTTCTTCATTGATTTTAGAGAGGAAGGGAGAGGGAGAGAGAGATGGAAACATGGATGAGAGAGAACATCGACTGACCGCCTCCTGCACGCCCCCCACTGGGGATCGGGCCCACAACCTGGGCATGTGCCCTGACCGGGAATCGAACTGGCGACCTCTTGGTGCAGGGTCGACGTTCAGCCATGGAGCCACCCCGGCCGGGCTGCTCCTGCCTTTCCCACTACGTGCTGTTGGACGGTCGCAGAGCCTGACCTCCCGCTGTCCCAGGCCCCCCCGCCCCTCCCGTGGCTCCGCAGAGGCCCTTCCCCAGGCACCCGTCCGCGCCTGCGGGGCCTGACCTCCCTGTGCGGTGAGAGCCGTGGCGACCAGCACCCACTGCGCTGACCACTTCCCTTGTCCTGCAGATCACGCAGGCGAGAAACACGTGTCGGTGAGCTTCGTGCAGGACACCTCCAAGTTCTGGTACAAGGCGGACATCTCCAGGGAGCAAGGTGTGTGGCGGGCGGGGCCGGAGGACTCGGAGCGGGCCTCTCCCCTGCACACCTGGGGGCACTGCGGGCCCCGGTGTTGACAGAGAAGCCGGGTCCTCGGGAGGGAGCTGCCCGGTGTGCGGGTGTGATTTCCAGACCCCGCCATCAGGCCGGCCTGGCCAGTGACCACGGCAGACAGTGACAGGAGACCAGGGTCAGGAGGAAGGACAGGTGTCTCCAATGTCTGAATGGGCACCCCTGCGTCCGTCCAGGTGGTAGGGACGGACGCTGAGGGGCAGGTGGACCGGACAGACCCCATCACACACATGCACCTGCCTGGCGGGGTTCAGCCAGCGAAATCACCCCTAGTTTTGAGCAGCTCAGTCGTGGGGACTTCTCCTGGGAACGTGAGCGGATGCGGTGTCGGCGCCCATCAGGGTCCCCTCTGGGGGAGCGGCAGCCACCTCCACAGCAGGGACATGGTCCCCACAGCGTGCTGGCCTCCGCTCCTGGGGACCTGCTGTCCCCTTAGAGGCTGCGACACTGCCGCACGGGGTCACTGAGGGAGACGGCGTGTGACGGCCCAGGAGCTGGGAGACAGGCCGTGGGGATGAAGTCCCCTGGGGCTTCCCGATGGCGGCTGAGAAAGGGGTTGTCACCACCTTGTCACCACCTCGCTCGGCGAAGGGAGGTGCCAGCCCCGGGGTCCCCGGGCTGCTCCGTCCATGGACTCCGCCTGGGGGTTTCCCAGAAACGCCCGGACACAGGAGGAGCTAAGCGGCTGCCCACGGCTCCGTCCGCTTCCTCCCGGGAATTCTGTTCGGCTAGTAGACAACAGTGGTGAGAACGGGCCTTTCTCCCTGAGCTCAATGGCACTTTGTCATTTCACGTGGGGGCCTGCAGCCCAGCGACCTCTCGCTCCCTGAATTGGCCTTTGTGGCGCAGCCGGGCTCCAGCACAAGTCAGGGCTCCGTCTGTCCCCCTGATTTTGTCACATGAGTCCCCGTGGTTGTGGCCGTTGGCTCCGGTGCCTTGGCCCTCTGCCAGCTGGACAGACTCTGCCCAGGCTAGTCCAGCACCCTGTTCTAGAAGATTCTGTGTGTGCCCCGTCTTCCACCAGAGCAGCTTTCTAGACTGGACGCTGGACTGGCCGGGCCCCCCTTCTCTGACCCACAGCCAGGCGGCCCCTGGGCCCTCGGCCTGCCCGGAGAGGGGGCGGGCTGTGTGAGAGGGGCCCTGTGTCACCCAATCTCAGCCTCACCTGTGGAAGGTTCCTTTGCGTGGAACTTGTCTCAAAATAGCTGCCGCGTGCCCTGGGCGGGGACCTCAGAGCTGAACTGAAAGGTCACTTCCTAGACATTTGCAGGGAGGACACGGCACAGACGAAGGTCCGGGGGGGCCAGCTTTGTGTCGGGGGCTTGTGGGCTTGTGTCGATGTTGCCGCCAGTCGGGAGGTGCTTCTTCCATCCCAGCGGCAGTGACATTTCAGGAGGACGGAGGAGGAAGACCCCAGCTGTCTGGGAGCTTAGGGGTCCTCGTTGCTGCGGGACATGGATTCCCTGGGGGTTGCTGAGGCGAACGTAAAAATCCCTCAGGAGGTAACGGCTGCAGCCGAGTGGGTGGGACCCAGCTGTCCCGCTGTGCTCTCTGGGACGTGACCTCCCGCCGTCCCCGGAGGCACCAGATGCAGCGGAAGGGGTGATGAGGGTGGCCTCGTCCTCCACCCTCTTCAGCTGGACAGCGAGGCCCAGGCCGGGCCCTCAGGGTGTGACCAGCAGGTCCTACATCCTCAGCATACGGGCTCGGGCTCCTCTGTGTTCCGATACGTGTTTCCATACACAGCGTCTGCGTGTCCCCAAGCTCCGGGCGGCCCGGCCTCTGGGGATGGGACCTGGGGGGAGACCAGCCTTCCCTGTGCTGGTCAAAGTCCAGGCCCCAAGGACGGGCCCTTCTTTCCACCAAAGTGGAACAGAAACGTGACTTACACGTCACAACTGAAACTGCGTAATTAATGTAAGTCATCGTTTCACTACTTTCACAAAGTAACACACGTTCAGCCCCCAAGTTCAGAGTATGTGCTAGAGGTGCATGCCTGGCCCCCCGGCTCTGCCCGGCCCCCCACCAGCCTCACGCTGGGTGGGTGGGAGCAGCGGGTAAGGCTGGTGTCCGCCACAGCCAGGCCCGTGCCCTCGGGTGCCCCACACCCGCTGCCCTGGAGAGAGCGTCCTCTGTCCCTCTGTCCTGCCGGCTCTGCCTCTGGCCCGGTCCTGCTGGGGTCGGGGGCTGGGCGCCCTCTGGCTGCCGTGGGGGCCTCAGGCAGGACGCTGATGTCACTGGGGTGACACACTTCCTGACACTCACTGACCAGAGGCCTCTGGTTTCTCAGGAAGGTGACGTTCTCAGGGCCAGGATTCTGTATGAGTTTCTACTTGAAACCATAGTTTTCTTTTTATCTTACAAACAGTAGAAGTTACGAAGGCGATTCTGAGATGTGTCCACGTACCAGAGAAACCCCTGGCCGGCGTCAGGGCAGCACTCGGCCGGAGGGCGCTGTTACCCGGGCTCGTCCCTCCTGCATCTCGAGCAGGGGGCCCAGGGTGCAGACTCCCGGGGGTGGGGAGGAGATGGTGCAGACGGGCCAGCCCAGCTGTCGGCCCCGAGTCATTGAGACCGGACACGTGGAGAAGGACAGAGCTGGCCACGTTGGCCCTGGAGCCACGGGGTGGACGATGGCCGGTGGCCACGTTTTTGCCATCCCTTTGGGCGGCTCTTGAACCTTATTAAATATTGAGTCCTCAGTAACCTGGGGGCATGTCCTCCTGTGATTGGAAACGTCTTTCCTCCTGTCGAACAGTGGCAGCTTCCACCCACGTCCTGCCCGCCAGGCTGTGTGCTGGGACCGGGGCTGTCAGGCGGGGTCCGCGTCCGGGCGTCACGGGTGCTGTGGGGTCGTGTGACCCAGAGGGAGGGGCTGCCCTGCACATGTGCATCCTCACGTCAGGTGACCCTCTCCATTGACCAAACATCGGGACAGCCCTCCCAGGCTCCCCCAAATGCACGTCCCCAGAGACCTGCCCGAGGGCCCACTCCCGTGGCCCAGTGTGCAGGAGGCCGAGAGGAGCCTTCTTGGGGTGTCGTCATGGGCACGTGCGCCCTGCAGACCCTCACGCGTCTCTCCGCCCCCAGCCATCGCCATGCTGAAGGACAAGGAGCCCGGGTCCTTCATTGTCCGGGACAGCCACTCCTTCCGGGGCGCCTACGGCCTCGCCATGAAGGTCGCCACGCCCCCACCTTCCGTCCTGCTGCTGAACAAGAAGGGTGAGTGCCCGGCGCGGCCCCTCCGCGCCTCTGCGTCCTGTCTGCCCGAGAACACGGGTGTCAGAACAGCGCTCACGGATGTTCTTCTTTGTGTTTGTCATTTCGGGTACTCTTCCTTCGGTGTAGCCCTGGTCCAACAAAGGAGGTTAACGATTTGTAGGTTTTATTTCTTTATTGCTTTGAATGGGTGACCCTCTCCATTGACCAAACATCGGGACAGCCCTCCCAGGCCTCCACCTGGGGTCTTGCTCCCCCAGTCGCCGTGGCGACCGGCTCCCTGGGTCCCGGTTTTCTTACTTAAAGGCACTGGGTGTGCGGAGCTTGTTCCTGCACCAGGATGAGTGCGACCTGGCGGCTGCCGTCACCCCTTGTCCCCCCAGGACGAGGACAGCACCTCCCTCCCCCCCGGCTCCTGCTAGCCTGGGGACCGAGACCCGCCCCGTCCTGTGTGGTGGCTCAGCTCTGTCACAGAGCGGCCTCGGGCAGCCCCTGCTCTGACTGCTGCCCCTCGCTGTCCCCCCTGCCCTGGGTTCTGGAAGTTAAACTAAATCTGACCGTTTCCTTCCTTCAAACCTCCTCCCGCAGCCGGGGATCTGGCCAGCGAGCTGGTCCGGCACTTTCTGATCGAGTGCACCTCGAAGGGGGTGCGGCTGAAGGGCTGCTCCAATGAGCCCTACTTCGGTAAGTGCTGGGGTGCCCCGGGCATGGGGGGACCCCGCCCCGGCTGGGCCGCCGCTCCGGGTGGCATCACACACAGCAGGTCCTTCAGTCCCCCCTGAACCACGGGCTCCAGGATGAACCAGACTCGAAAGTGTTCTGGGAGCTTTCTCAGCCCCCACAAGGAAAAGCGGGGGGCCGGGCCTGGAAATGCGGGGGTGAGGGGGAGTGGGGAGTGTGGCCGAGCTTGGAGCCAGAGCACAGCCCGTCCGGTGGGTGTAGGAGAGACACTGGCCTTCTTCCCCGGGAGGTGACGTCTCCGACCCCGCGGGCTGGTGGGAAAGGCCCCTGGGCGCCCGGGGAGGCCTGGGTCCCCCCTCCCATAGCCTTAGAAGCCCCTTCTGGGGACAGCGTAAGGTCACCACTGTCTGACTCATAGACTGTGGTTTGCCTGCCCAGCGTCACCTCAGTCGCTCTACCTAACCCTTCGCTTCTGCTGAAGCTTCACACCACGTCCCTCGGCGGGGCGGCGTGCTAGCTGCCGCGCGTGCCGGGCTCCGGGTTTGCGGCTGTGGGTTTGCTGAGCGACGCCGTCTCGGGGTCCTGTTAACGCTGCCCGTTCTGCCCGCAGGGAGCCTGACGGCCCTGGTGTGCCAGCACTCCATCACGCCCTTGGCGCTGCCCTGCAAGCTGCTCATTCCGGACAGAGGTGCGCCCTGCTCCGGCCGGCTCCCAGCGGTCACCGCGGCTGCTGGGCGCACGGTGTCGGGTCCACACGGGCCCGGGGGGGGAGTCAGGCCGGGAGGTTCTTCCAACCGGTCCTTGGAGGGGGACCCTGAAGATGGGGGTGGTCTGACCCCATCGAGGACCAGAGGTGGCGGCCCTGACGCCCTGGGTCTCTGTGGCGCGAAGGTTCTGTGCCTCACACGTGCTAAGTGCCTGGACCTGAGCCCTCGAGGTCCTGACACTCACTTTGCGAGTCTACAGAATCGGCGAAATGTTGACGCTGCGGAGCTCAGCGTGCGGGGTGGACGTCTCTGCCGTGAGGGTTTGAGAATAGCCGTAGTCGGAGGAGCGAGTTAAAATAGGCACGTCCACAGCGCGCAGCGCGGTCGAGCCTCTGCCCGCTCCCCGGGCCGTGTGATTATTCTGCTCCGGAAAGATGAGGAATTCGGAGTCTGTCGTCACCTATCTTTTATGATTTCATTGTTCATATAAACTGCAGTTTTCACCCGGTGCGCCGCAAGAATTTTAAAAACATGCCGCACCCGACGGTTTAGTCCGGGGCTCTGACCCCTCTTCCCTGAGACTGTCAGACACAATTTCGTCCTGAGGGTCCCGCGTGGTCAGGAAGACGCTTCCCGGTGAGCCGACTCAGTTCTCTGTTTTCTTGTCCCCTGCAGATCCACTGGAGGAAGTAGCGGAAACGGCTCCCCAGACAGCGGCCAACTCCGCGGCCGAGCTTCTGAAGCAGGGAGCAGGTCAGTCACGGCAGTGGCGGGACTCGGGGTCACGGCCTCGCCCCATCCAGTCCTGGGGTTCCCTCTCCTTCTGTGGGCTCGAAGCTTCTCTCTCATGACGGCTGGAGGTGCCCTTCCGGCTCCCGCAGGGTCGCGTCGGCGGGATAAGTGTTATGTCCCGGGTTTAGTTTGGGGAGACGTGGTGAGACAGGGTGTGCGTGACCTGCCTGTGGCCACCGTCGGTGTCTGTGGTCAGAAGACGTGGCTGGGTCGTCTGAAGGAGCCAACGGTGTCCCCCAGGGCGGCACACACCCCACCCAACAGGCTCCCCAGGTCACTTTTTTTTGTATTAATAGACCAATTTTTAGAGCAGTCTCAGGTTTACAGCAAAGTGGAGCAGAAATTTCAGAGATGCCCCTGCCCGCTGTAGAGGTCCCTCCCCCAGGAGGTACAGTCGCCACCGCGGGGGGACCTGCAGGGACAGGTTATCATTCCCGGAGCCCGTGGCTTCTGTGCGGGGTGACTGTGGGGTGCTTTCTGGGGGTTGGACAAGTGTGTGGTGAGATGCGCCCGCACTGCAGCCCAGACGGAGACGTTTCTTCACTCTGCCTGTTCCTCCCCCTCGACGCCGGCAGCCTCTGGTCTTTTACTGTCTCCCCGGCTTCGCCGGTCCCAGGTGCGCTGTGGCTGGAATCACACCGGACGAGCCTTTCAGACGGGCTGCGTTCACTCAGCGACGGCACCCGAGGCTCCTGTTCTTCATGGAGACCTAGCGCCTTTCTGCCCAGGAACAGCCCCTTGTCCAGATGGACCCAGTCTCCTTATGTCCTCCCCTACCGAAGGGCCTCTCGGTTGCTTCCAGTTTGGGCAACTGTGAATAAAGAGCTATAAATAGCCATGCGCGGGTTTTTCATGGACATAAGTTTTCCGTGCGTTTGTGTAAGTACCAAGGAGCGTGATTGCTGGATCTCGTGGTAAATGTGTGTCTAGTTTATTTTTGTTGCAAATGTTTCTCCTTTCCCCCCTAGACACCCTCCTCCCGATCCCTCTTCCTCCCAGCATTGCTGTCCATGTCCACTGGCTGTGCTTACATGCGTATAAGCTCCGTGGTTTATCTCTTCCCTCCCCCATCTCCCTGCTCGGGGGTCTGTCGGTCTGAACTCTGCTCCTTTCTATGTCGCTGGGTCTATCTTGTTCATCAGCTTATTTTGTTCATTATCTTCCACAAATAAGTGAGATCCTGTGATATTTGTCTTTCTCTGCTTGGCTTGTTTTGCTTAGGATAATACTCTCCAGGTCCCTCCATGTCATCTCAAAGGATAAGAGGTCTTTCTTTCTTACAGCTGCATAGTACTCCATTGTGTATATGTACCACAGCTTTTTTATCCATTCGTCTACTGATGGACACTTGGGCTGTTTCCAGATCTTAGCTATTGTAAATAGTGCTGCTACAAACATGGGGGTATATATATTCTTTCTGATTGGTGTTTCAGGCTTCTTAGGGTATATTCCTAGGAGTGGGATCACTGGGTCAAATGGAAGTTTAATTTTTAATTTTTTGAGGAAACACCATAGTGTTTTCCATAGTGGCTGCACCAGTCTGCATTCCCACCAGCAGTGTACTGAGTCCCCTTTTCTCCACACCCTCGCCAACACTTGTTGTTTGATGATTTGTGGATGGCGGCCATTCTGACAGGTGTGAGGCGATACCTCATTGTTGTTTTAATTTGCGTCTCTCTGATGATTAGTGACATTGAACATTTTTTAAATTAATATGTCTCTTGGCCATTTGTATGTCGTGTTTGGGGAGGTATCTATTCAGCTCCTCTGCCCATTTCTCAGTTGGGTTCTTTGTCTTCCTTTGTTGAGTTGTATGAGCACTCTATGTATATTGGAAATTAACCCCTTATCTGATGTATCCTTGGCCACTATGCTCTCCCATACAGTGGGTTCCCTTTCCATTTTGATGGTTGTTTCTTTTGCTGTGAGAAGCTTTTTCGTTGTATGTTTAATCTTGTAAGAAACCACCAGACTGTCTTCCCACGCGGCTGCGCGGTCGCCTCCCACCAGCAGGGAGCCAGGCCCCGCTGCTCCCTCCTCCCAGCGCGGGGAGTTGTCCGCGCTCAGGTTTTGTTCCGACGGGTCCCCTTGTGCCTGGGGTTTGCGTCTTCCCGATGACCTGTGACACTCAGCATCCTCACATGCGCATTTGCCATCGTCTGTCCTCTTTGGTGAGGTGTCTGTTAAGGTCTTTGGTCCATTTATTTTTCTAATCAGGTTGCTTGTGTTTTTACTGTTGAGTTTTAGGAGTTCTTTGTGAATTCTGGGCAGCACCTCTCAGGTGTCATTCGCAAATGTGTTCTCCCAGTTTGCAGCTTGCGTTCTCAGTCTCTCGACGGCATGTCTTGCAGACCAGAAATTCTAATTGTAATGAAATCCAGTTTACCAGTTCTTTCTTTTTTTTGTTTTATTTTATTTTTTTGTTGATCCTCATCTGAGGATATTTTGCCATTGATTTTTAGATAGAGTGGAAGGGGCGGGGGAGGAACATCGATGTGACAGACATATCAATTGGTTGCCTCCCACACGGCCCCGACCAGGGCCTGGGACCGAACCGCAACTGAGGCACATGCCCTGGACCGGAATTGAACCCACGACTCTTTGGTCCGCAGGCTGACGCTCCAACCGCGGAGCCACACCGGCCCAGGCAGATTGTATTCTCATTTGCTGCTGTTCCCTGTCGCTGTGGGGCCTGAGCTCCTGCAACCCTTTTGTAATCGCTGGTGACTCTCAGGTCCCGTCACGGGGTGAGATGCCGGCCCAGTGGCCCAGTTCACGGGGGCACGGTGCTCCCTGCCCCCAGGTTCGTGCCCAGTGGCCCCTGGAGCCCCCAGGGCTTCTTGCAGACTTTATTTGTAGGTCCTGACGTGTTTTGTTCTATTCTGGCTCATCATTTTTAAGCCAGTTCATCATCTGTTTGAAGGATACGTAGCACACATCAGTAAGTCTGCACGGTCTGTGTCCGTACAAGACTGGCCTTTTACAGGACAAGACATCAGCACCTGGCGTCTCAGTTACTCATCCGAGTCAGGCGTTTACAGAGGGGCGAAGTGGTGACAGAGTCACATTCGTGTCCTTTTAAAAATCTCTCGGTTCTGCCCTGGCCGGTTTGGCTCAGCGGTTAGAGCGTCCGCCTGCGGTCCGGAGAGGCCCGGGTTCGGTTCCCGCTAAGGGCACGTACCTTGGTTGCAGTTTGTCCCCGGCCCTGGTTGGTCGTGCGGGTGGCAGCCACTCGATGTGTCCCTTTCACGTCGATGTTTCCCTCTCTCTCTCTTCCTCTCTCTCCCTCCCACTCTGTCTGTACAAAAAATGGAAAAATGTCCTCGGATGAGGATTAAAAAAAAAAAAAAAATCTCTCGGTTCTAAGACACATCAAGAGGCCTGACTTTCTGCCCAGATGCCTTCATGGCTGACGAGACCAGGAGTCAACAGGGCACAGAGACGTGGCCGGGACAGCGGCAGCCGCCCAGGTGCATCCTGGGGGGTCCGAGAGGTTGTCCGGACGGGTGCGGAGCCAGCGGTCGGGAGGTAGTCGGGCAGTCCGACCTCTGATCACCGCAGGACATGGAGTGGGGCTTTCCCGTAAACTGAATTTCATTCGTGGTCCTAGTGCACTTCAGGTCCTCAGCCCCTGCTGCTACGGCCGCTTGGGGTCACCTCCCAGCTCCCCACGGCAGTCGGGGTGCCGAGGCAGGACTGTGGGCCGGTTGGACGGCCCGTAGCGCGAGGCAGACACTTTCGTCTCTTCAGTGTGGTCTCTCTCGTTTGATACCAAACGTGAGTTTGCTCCCCAAACGATTCCGTTGCTGTGGTAGCCTGAGCCCTTGGCTCCTGTCGGAGCAGACGACGTCGCGGCCGAGCTCTGAAAAGGGGCCTTTCACGGGCTCCTGGCCGGCTTCCCACACGTCCCCGAGCTGTGGTTTTAGCTTACTGCGCTGTGAAGTATGTTTTCTGTATGAAGTAATCTGTGTTCTTTAAGCTAAACAGGGAGATGCAGAAAAGAAAGGGAGAGGGAATCACCCCGGGCCCCTCACGCACACGCGGACCCTGAGATCCCTCTCGCAGGCGTGACGAGTCCCCACGGTCTGCAAACGCTGCGGGTCCCGTGGTTGGCGGCCGAGGAAGGGTCTGTCGTGGGACCCAGCTCCCCGGAGTCATCCATTTAGCTTGTTTCTGGCGTCTCAGGACCTCGGACGCTGCTTGCAGGGCCACTTCCTGCATTGGTTGCTGCCTCGGACCCGCCTCCCGGTGGTGGGGCCTCCAGGTGGTGGGGCAGGGAGAGCCCGTGGGCGGTGTCCCGGGCCGTCTGCTTTGAGAACGAATGGCCCAGGGCTTGCAGAGTGCTTGCTCCCTGCGGCTCCTGCTGTGGCCGGCCCAGGCCCAGTTCCCAGCAGGGCATCACGGTGCCACACCCTGGACAGGAGCACGGCCAGGTGGAGCTGGGCGTGGCCCCGCCGTGGGGGAGGGGCGTGGCGCGGCTCCGTGGGCGGGCAGAGCTGCCGGGCTGTGCCTGAGGGCCAAGCTCTGTCTGTGCTCTGGACTCATATTTGGTTCTGCCTGTGGAACGAGAGATCCCCAAAGGCATGGGGGGCACGGCCAGCACGCCGGGGTCTGGGCCCCACCACCTTCAGTTGCCAGTGTGCACCCGAGTCAGGCTGTGCCGGTTTCATGGGGTCTCACTGTAGTCGGTCAGAACTTTCTTTTTCTCTGTCGCTAGCCGGTGAGCATCACGTGACCCTGAAGGAACCAGAGACGGGTGTTCACTCTGGAATCAGACCGCCCCCAGGTTCCGGGCTGCCTTCCAGCTCCCGTCCCGCGCACACAGCTCATTTCATGGCTCCGGTCGGCACACAGAGGGGCTTTTATTCTGCTTTCCCGTTAACCACCACCGTTTTCCACGTGGCCACAGTTTCCATGGCGGCCACTGGCTGGCTGCTCAGTGTTCCACCGAGGGGGGCCTGAACCCTCCCCGATTTGGGCCGTAACTGGTTTCCAGTGTGACCCCCGACAGGGCCGTGTGGCTGGACGTCTTCCCTTCCAGGGTGGCTGCCTCACGAGTCACTGAGGTGTCCTTTGCCCTCTCAGAAGCGCGGCCTGTAGGTCACCCACCAGGTGGGGTGGTTCTTCTGATCTGACAGACACGGCCAAGTCGTTAACCGGAGGGGCCACCCTGGGTGGCACCAGATGGTGTGAAAGCATCGTCAAGCTCCTTGGGCAGGGAGCTCTGGGCAGCGCCCCGTAGCTGAGTCGTGGCCGTGGTCTGCCCGCTGCACGGCTACTCCCTGGTGCCCGCCATGCCTGGAGCTCCCAGCGGGGCCCTGATCTGGGCTCCAGGCTGCAGAGCCCCGACCCGACGCTCCCTTCATCCCCCTGGGGTGGGGCTCCTATGCCACCTGGACCACAGAGGCACTGAGGAGGTGCCCCAGCCCCCCACAGGGAAGCCAGGCACACATGCAGCTGCAGAAGCGTCTCCATGGCTCCGGGGACCTGTTTATTCTCCGCCTCGGCCCTGGGACTCGTGTGTCTCTGGGTCACTCCCTCCACACCTCAGAATTAGGGCAAAGGGCGTTTGCCTTCGATGCACCTGGCGCAGGACACAGGTCGCATGGTTCGTGGCCCCCGGGCACCGTCGGCCGCATGTCCCACAGACACAGACACTGCTGTTCCCCTTCCTACAGCCTGCAACGTGTGGTACCTGAACTCCGTGGAGATGGAGTCCCTCACGGGCCACCAAGCCATCCAGAAGGCCCTGAGCACCACCCTGGTCCAGCAGCCGCCTCCCCTGTCCACCGTGGTGCACTTCAAGGTGTCGGCCCAGGGCATCACCCTGACGGACAATCAGAGGAAGTGAGTGTGCCCCAGGGGGCTGCAGGCGGGGCGGGGCAGGGCCCTGCTCACCCCGGGGCTGCTCGTCTCTCAGAGCTAACCCTGAACGGTCTGATCGCCCCAGTGAGAGCTCGAACCCCAGCAATAACCAGTGACCGGTCTGTCTGCGCTTTCCTGTGGTCTCCTGGGTCCAGGACCCGCGAGGAAACCAGCAACGTCTGGCCCTTTGCGTATCTCCCACACGCGTGCATGGATCACTTGCAAAGGCAACAATGTTTCAAGTCACTTCTGTGGACTGGCTCTGAGGCCGGTGGAGTCCGCACAGCTTCAGTGAAATGACCCCCAAGCGGTGGCCGTCCTGGTGCAGCGGGAGTGTGACCTTGACAGAGAAGATTTCAGTGTCCAGATAATAGTGTGATTGTGTGATAACATTAAGTACTTGATGTTAGTAGCAGGCCTCCATTATCACCTAGTTACTATGCAATACAGTGTTATCACATGACTGTACAGGTGGCTCAGTTTCCAGCGGCTTCCACCAGAGAAGCCCCTAAGCAGCTCAGCCAAACAGGTGACCCCCGGGGACCCTGGGCCTGAGCAGGGAGCAGGAGCAGGTCGGGGCAGATGGAACCAGACGGGTCCCTCCCCGTGGGGGCCTTTGGGTCAGGACTTAGTGAATTGTTATGGAAACAGCTTTGATTGACTAGGGAACCCACCACCCAGAGGGTGGCAGTTGGCTCCCAGGGCACTCGGTTTGTCCCCAGCACCGGCCACTCTCTGCCCGGCCCTTACCGCTGCTCCAGGACTGTCCCCGGCACGGGACCGTCTCTGGGCAGAACCTCCCACCCAGTGTTTTCGGGGTGAATCCGTTCAGCTCAGAGGTTTCACTCCTAAGCCTTCTCCAGCTCGGGACAAGGCTGCCTGGGGGTGACATGGGCCTCGCTGCTCGGCCCCAGGTTCCCGTGTCCCCGCCACTCCCTGGCGGGGGCTGTGACCCTCGACTTCCTCGTCTTTCAATCTGCACCGAAGTAGCGGAGACCCCGATGAGCGCAGGCTCTGCCCTTCTCCAAACCCCGTGAAGCACGGGCTGGGCTGCGGCCCCATGTCCGGGAGCCTCTGCGTCATCGCCCCCCCCCCCCCCCGTCCCCGCAGGCTCTTCTTCCGGAGGCACTACCCCGTGAGCAGCGTCCTCTTCTGTGCGCTGGACCCGCAGGACAGGAAGTAAGAACTGTGCCCGGCGGCGTGGGGACCCCAGCCCCTGCTGTCCGTAAGGAAACCGACGTAACTCTGTTCTCTTTCATTCGCAGGTGGGTCGCGGACGGCCTGGACTCCAGGTGAGCGGCCAGCTGACTCGTGTTGCCCCGACCTCCTTCCGAGAGGGTCCTCGGGAGGAAGGACTGAGCGGCGCAGTGAGCGCGGGTTTGCGTTCAGGGCGGGTGTGTTGCGGTCGGGCGCGAGCAGGTGGCCGTGCGCGGCAGGGGGCCCGGCTCTCGGGTCTGCGGTGCAGAGGGACCGAGTCCGTGCCCCTCGCTCCCTCTGGGCGTGGGTGGCGTGGGGCCGTGCTCATGACCACAGGTCGATGTCCCCCCGTCACCTGAGGTTGATTTCAGCGAGACCCAACCACAGGCATCCTTCCCTCGGAGCCCTGTTTCCTGGCCCCCCTTGGTTTTGGGGTCTGACGCAGTTCCTGGGGCCCAGTGGGGCCAAGCCCTGGGCTTTGACCTCAAGGCCGGCTGCACTCCAGCCGCATGGAATGTGTGACCCCCTTGGGTGCCTTGGCCAGTCCCTCTGTGGTGTGGGCACCGCTGCTCTTCAACAACAGAGCCCTTCATCTCTGCGACGGGGCGATGCCTGCCGGGCTGGGACGCGGACAATGGCGTCCTTGTGTGAGGTCGGGCCCTGCCAGCTCAGACTGTGGCTTTGGTTCTTCTGAGAAACCTCCACCCCGCTGTCTCCCATTTCCTTCGTGGGGTGCAGTGGGACGCAGGTGTGCGGACCCCGAGGAGGGACCCGGCCACGGTGGGGTCAGTGTGCAGGTGGCTGGCAGGAGCCATTTGGGTATCCGCACCCGTGTGGTCTGTGCCCCGTCAGGTTGACTGCCCGCGGACAGAGCGGTCCTCCCAAGGACACGGGGCCGGGCTCAGGACCCGCCCTGACAGTGTCTGCAGGACTAGCCGGGCGTGGAGAAGCCACTGGGGTTCAGGACCCGGGGGTCCGCACCTGCCGGCACCCTCGGGCCCCACCTGCCGCAGCGTTCCCAAGGGGCGGGGGTGGGCGGGCGTCCGCACGGCGGAGTCGAGGGGGCGGAGGTGGGAGAGACGGCTGGGACCCCTCAGCCTTGCGGGATGGACATGACGCTCCGGCCCCCCACTTCCCCTGTGCAGAGTCTTCGGGTTCGTGGCCCGGAAGCAGGGCAGCGCCAGCGACAACGTGTGCCACCTGTTCGCGGAGCATGACCCCGAGCAGCCCGCCAGTGCCATCGTCAACTTCGTGTCAAAGGTCATGATCGGCTCCCCTAAGAAGGTCTGAGCCCCTCAGGGCTGGAGATGCCAGAGGGCCTCCCTGCTGTGTCCCTGCGGTGACCCTGACTCCTGGCTCCTCCAGCTCCCCGAGAACCACCCACCCTGCACCTCCCTGAGAGACGGCCCCCCCGGCGGCCCCCCGCCCTGTCTGGGCAGAATGGGCGCCAGGTCACCCACCCAGCTTCGCACCCAGGACCGTGCCAGGAAGCTAGGTCCCTGTGTGCCTGGCACGCGGCGTCTGGGAGGAGGGACGTCAGCCCCTGCCGTGGCCCGAGTGACCGCTGCACGTGGCCCCGCTGTGGCAGAGGCTCCTGTCCAGCCAGTGTCCGGTGTCCCCACCCTCCCAGGACACTCCTGTGAGGAGGGTTTGTGCAGCTCCGGCCCTTCCGGAGCCCCGACCGAGGGGACAGGCGATGGGCTGGAGGGCGAGGGTGTCGCCGTGGGCGGGAGCCCCACCCTGGCCTGGTGCCAGCTCCCGCGTCCCTCCCATCGGGTCTGAGCCGTGGGCTTCGAGAGGAGGAAGTCCGTGAATTTATAGCTTCTCTGCCGAATCATTTACGACCGCGGTGCCCTGCAGGTGTCCGGGGGACACTGGGGACCGGCTCCCACGTGCGGTGACGTCAGGTGTCATCTCCAGGCAGTGGGCGCCGTCCTTTCTGGGGTGTAAGGTTCCGGAGGGGGGACACACTGAGCTCTGGAAGCGCCTGTCCAGCCCGTCGCGTCCACGCCTGCCGGCTCCTGGAGGGGCTGCGGGGGCCTCAGGCTCACGGGTGTTTTGGGGGCCTTCTCCCCTGCCTCAGCCACGGTGTCCATGCCGTACACACACAGTGGTGGCGTGGTCTGGCGCCTGACCGGTCAGTGGTCCTGGTCCAGGAGATGCTGGTGGCCTGGGAGGCCCTGCTGATAAAGTCACTGCCTCCTTCCTCATCTCCGGCCCTCCGCGGGCTCCTCCCGGAACTGCCCGCTCTCTGTTTTGGAAACCGGCCACCAGCTTGTCCATCCCCCAGAGGCGCCAGCGACGGTCCCCAGCCTGGGGTGGGATGTGCTGCGTGGACTCGGTCAAAGTCGGTCAGAGGCGCAGGGCGAGGAGCCAGGACCGTGAGGAGCAGCAGGACAGCCGCTCGGCTCCACCAAAGCCCCGAGCGCGAGTGTCCACCACGGTCCTCCGCGGCGGCCTTCCTCCTCCCGCGCGCGGTGGCCGTGGGGACGGGTCGGCGCTGTCCCCAGGAGGCGTCTCGTCCCGAGATCGTTCACCCCCAAGTCTGACCCAGAGACCGCAGCCCGGACCCTCACCGTTCGGATGGAGGAAGACGGGCGTGCGTCGGTCAGCCAGACGCACAGCCCCGGGGATCAGGGCCCCGGCCTCCCTCCTGGTCCGCAACCAGGAGGCCCGAGAAGCTGGCGCTTTCGCTTCTCAGCTGCCTGGCCTTCCCTGTGGCCGGGCTCTTGGAGGTTTGCTCCAAGCAGACGGTTGTGTGGAGGCCAAAAGGTCTTCTCATGTGTTACATGTGTGTTACATGGGAGAAGACATGCCCATGACCTGGGTGTCAGGCCGCAGGTGAGCCCCCCACCCGGCTGGTGCCACACGGGGAGACCCCAGCGGGCACAGGGCCCTGTCCTCACCAGAAGTGTGCCTCTCAGGTGTCTTTGCCCCTCATTAACCATACGCGTGTCCCTCAGTGTTAGCCTGTGACCCAGCCCAGTCACCCGTGGAAGGGTCTCCTGTGTTTCCTTGGCATCAAAGACCTCACCGTGTCTCCTTATCTGCCTTAACTACTAGTGGGTATTTTTACTTTCCTTACATTGTAAAGAATATATCCAGTATGTAAATGAATGTTCTATAAGTCCGTTGTATAGTCACTTCCTCTGCTCTTAAATATCATCTCTACCCAGAGTATAATAAAATATTAACCTTGGTGACCGTGTGAGGCATCTGCTTCCTGTGTTGAGCCCTAGGGTGTGTGTGGGTGTGTACGTGTGCAGGCGTGTGCCCGACATGTCCGTGCGTGGGCGTGTACATGTGAGCACACACCTCTGTGTGTGTATTTGGGAGCACGTAGGGAGTTGCTTACGGATTCAGGTATAAATTCATGGCTCTTTTGCCTTCAGGAATATCGTTCTAAGATTCCCTTCCAGAGGTGTATGGACACGTGTATTCAGGGTTCTAAGAGTTTAATTCCAGTGGGCGGTGTGGCCATGGGTGCAGCAGGGTTTTGTGATTCAGCCCCGATGGGACTTGCCAGGTGTCACCTGCTGGGTGGCACTGAACTGAATAAGGGAAGTCAGGTACATTCCCCCAATTTACAGTAGGTGTTGGTGACAGGCCTGTGCCCCCAGCCAGGTGCGGCCCACTGTGCTGGCATCTGCCCTTGGGTCTGGGCACCTCCCTGGGACATCTCTCTCATCGATGTTTCTATCTCTCCCTTACTCTCTAAAAAAAAAATCAATAAAGAAAAAAAATGTTTTTTAAAATGGAATCTGAGAAAACCACCACCGAGGTCCTGGTCGGGTTGCTGTCGGTTAGCGCACCATCCGCACCCAGAGCCGTGTCTGCAGCACCCTGCAGCCTCTCCCACCACAGTCCTGCTCTGAGTGTAGCAGAGGGTTCCTGGGAGGGGCGTGTCCTTTCTGGCTGACCTGCTGGGTCACAGACCCAGTCAGCTGGCCCGGAACCCGGCAGGACAGCTGTCGACAAGAAGGCAGAGGTTGGTTGGTGCCCCTTCTGCCAGCCCGTGAGCTAAGGTTGAGGTGCCAGCTGCTCTCTGCTGCTGAGCCCAGGAGATGTCCCCAGCGCGGCCCAGGGTGCCTGGGTCAGGCATGCCCCCTGCCACTGGGCCAGGACACGCCCGTGCGAGGCACCCCTGGCCCAGGTGAGGAATGTGCAGACAGCCCCGCAGAGCCGGAGGCTCTGTCACCTTGAGCTGCGCAGACCAGCGAGGTGGTCGCAGCTGCTGGCAAATGAGCACCCGGCGGTGATGGCAGGTGCCCCCTGCCCACCTTGGAGAATGACGCTGGGGATGAGGCCTGGCAAACTGAAGAATCGGTTCTTTACAGTTGCCCCTCATTTCGGTTTTAGTTCCTTCCCAGGTGGACGTTCCAGACCCGTGTCCTCCCCGCGGCCCTGGAGGGCGGCGCTGCCCTCCCCCAGGGTGCACTTTCCGGGGACGGGACGTCCCAGCGGAGCCCAGTGCAGGCCCCAGGCCGCGCGCATCCGGCAGAGCGTGGGCAGCACCGCCCCCTGGTGGCCGCCGGGCTTCCTGCGCAGCTGCGGCCACAGCGTGGTTTCCGGGCGGGAGCGGGGCGCGGGCCCCTGGGGTGTCGCGTGCACCTGGCCGCACCTGCCCGCTGTCCCGCCGGGTCCTCGCTGTCGCTGGGGAAAGACACACGCAGTGGAGGGGCTGAGGGGAACCCCAAATGGCGTCAAAATGCATTTATGTCGCGCAGGTCGGATGGTTCCCTGTTCGTGATTTTCAGAAACGGCCTCAGTGCTGAGAACCCCCAAGGCCCGCCCGTGGGTCAGCCGGTCCGGGCGCGAGTGCGGGGGGTGGGGGGGAGGGGAGTGCCGGGGTGCACGGGGGGGCTGCCCGGGTGCGCGGGGGTGTTGCCGGGGTGCGCGGGGGGCTGCCTGGGTGCGTGGGGGGAGTGCCGGGGTACGCGGGGGGTGTTGCCGGGGTGCGCGGGGCGGGGGAGTGCCGGGGTGTGCGGGGGTGCGCGGGGGGCTGCCCGGGTGCGCGGGGGGAGTGCCGGGGTGCGCGGGGCGGGGGGAGTGCTGGGATGCGCGGGGGGCTGCCCGGGTGCGCGGGGGTGTTGCCGGGGTGCGCGGGGGGGAGGGGAGTGCCGGGGTGCGCGGGGGTGCGTGGGGGGCTGCCCGGGTGCGCAGGGGTGCGCGGGGGGCTGCCCGGTGCGCGGGGGGAGTGCAGGGGTGCGTGGGGGGCTGCCCGGGTGCGCGGGGGAATTGCGGGGGTGCCCGGGTGCGCTGAGGCCGGCAGGGGGCGCGCGGGCGGCGGGTCGGGATCGCAGCGCGGCCCGAGGGGCGACCGGGCCTGGGACGCTCAGCTGTCCTCACTGGGGACACACTGTCCGGGACGCGGGGGCCTGTGACCCGCCCGGCCCATTTCTCCCCAGCCCAGGGGGCAGAGGGGGGAAGGGAAGGGACGCCAGTTGCCCAGGTGGTCGCTGGAGGTGTGACGCGTCCGCAGGGACTTCTGAGTTCCTAGCTGCTCCTGACCTGTGCTGTCCCCCAGGAGCCCACCCAGTGCCCCGGGTGTCGCCCCCGCTCGGATCTTTGGTGTGAACACGGCCGGTAACACCTGAGACCGGTCCCTCTGGGGCAGGTGCAGCCCCACGTGCAGTGCCGCCAGGTCCTGTTTTCGCCGCCTGGACTCTTCTGGGTGGGCGGTGACTCGCAGGGATCATCTGATCTCATGACCCTGGGAGACAGCTTTTCCAGGAAATCAGGAGTGTTGCATTCCCCGCTTTTTTTAGTTTTCAGAACTTTTCATGTGGAAGGAAAGGAGAGTAACTGGGCAACAAGAGCCGCCTGATGGGCAGTCCCTCACAAGGTCCACTTCTGGGAATGGTCCCTAAAGAAGTCACTGAAACACAGATCTGAAAACAAGTGTTATCAACAGAGATTGGTCCCAGCATTTAAGATAGTGAGAGTTTGTAATGCTCTCATCATTCCAAAACTGTTCAATCGCTGTTCAGTAAAATACAGTGCGTCTTTTTGATGGAAAGTGTCATTCTCAAAATAACATAACAGTCTTTTATATTTATTCACTTTTATAATATATACTGTAAAATGCAATGTAAATGTGTCGAATGACTCTTAATAAACACACTGTTGTGTAACCATCGCCCCAACCCAGTTTGACAATGTCACCCTCCATTTTCCTTGTGACACAGCAATTCCATTCCTGGGTCGAGGCTCCGAGGAACTGGAACAGGCGTCCGGACAAACGCTGTCACATGTCTTCCCAGCAGTAGTTGCCATGGTCACCAGAAAGTAGAAGCAACTCAACTGTCCATCAACCGGTGAATGGATATGAAAAGTCCAGTATTTGTGCGATGGAATATCATTCAGCCCTGAAAAGGAGCTGCGGATGTGGGCCATGATGTGGAACCCAGACGCAGAAGGTCACATGCAGTAGGGCCCATTTACGTGACGTTCAGAGGAGGCTGATTTTGGAGACAGGACACAGATGGTGGCCGGCTGGGGGAGGGGAACTAGGGATCAACTGCGTATCAGGGACGAGATTTCCTTTCTCAGTGATGAAAGACTGGAACGAGAGAAGTGCCAGTTACATGCTCGGGGATTGAGTGCCCCTGAGCTGCCCATCTAACGTGGTTAAGACCATTACATGTTTCACCACAATGAAAACCAGTTGACCATGAGTGGATGGGTTTGGGAGTCTTAGAGGTAGAACAACCTGGTGGAAAGACCACATCCGATACGTGTGGGACAGTCTGATGGTCACGCTGCCCCTTTCTTCCTCTGTGACCTTGGCCACACCTCCTCACAGTGTAGAGGCTCCATGTCCGAGTTCAGGCTGGCTCCTCCCGAGGGCTCGCTCCCTGGCGTGGAGACGGCCGTCTGCTCCTGTGTCTGCACGTGTCCGCCACTCATGTGGACATCTGCTCCCGTGTCCGCACGTGGCCGTCACTCACGGGGCCATCTGCTCCCGTGGCCGTCACGTGGCCATCTGCCCCATGCTTGCAAGTGGCTGTCACTCACGTGGCCATCTGCTCCCGTGTCCGCACGTGGCCGTCATTCACAGGGCCATCTGCTCCCGTGTCCGCACGTGGCCGTCATTCACGGGGCCATCTGCTCCCGTGGCCGCCACTCACATGGCCATCTGCTCCGTGCTCGCACGTGGCCGCCACTCACGTGGCCATCTGCTCCCATGTCCGCACGGTGTTATCACTTACGGGGCCATCTGCTCCCGTGTCCGCACGTGGCCATCACTCTGCATGTCTGAGTCCTCACCTCTTCCCACCAGTGGTGTCAGGTTAGGGCCTCATCCTAGTGACCTCATTTCGCCTTAATCACCTCTTTAAAGATCCTGCCACGTTGGAGGTGAGGGCTTTGCTCTGTGAATTTGGGGGAGACTCCCAGGGAGGTGGCCTAAGGGAAGGCCAGTGACTCCCAAGTGGAAAGGATGAGACACCATGTCAGCAGAGAGGCCCCGGCATCAAAGCAGAACTGCAGGACAGCGGCCGACATGGGACCAGCCAGGACGTGGAGGAATTCCCCCTGCAGAGCCTGGACTGCCCCAGGATGTGGCCGGAGTGGACACTCGGTGGGACGCTGCCTGCAGGCCCCTCCGGGCCTCCCTCGTGCTCCTCCGGGCAGCCCCCCGGCCCGCGCGGGGCCCACGACACCAGTCGCCAACTGGAGAGGAGGCCTTGGTTCCTAGTAGCTTCTCAAAGAAGTTACAGAGCATTTCCCTTCCCTTTTGTATAAACAAAGAAACTGCCAACATGGAGCCTCTGCCTGTCCTTCCTCAAAGGGTGGTCACGGTCCCATCCATCATTTTTATTTCCGTGCACTGGGCGCTTCTCCCCGCTGGCCGTGCACTTTTGTCCCCGCCGGCCATTGGGCCTGGCACCTCCTGATGTTTATTTCAACTTCATAATTAAAGAAGAATGTTAAGTGTGGAGCCGAGCTGCTTCCAAACGCTGCAAAGGTCTGGAACAGCGCAACCCCTTGAGAAAAGCTCTGGGAGGGAAAAAACTCACAAATAACAAACTTGGAAACAACAGCTTGTCTTGGTCGGGACACGTGCAACTTTCCTAGACTGTTTTATTTTTTTGTTAACGAGGATTCTCTGAAAAGTCAACACAAAGAGGTCAATCGTCACAACAACTTCAGAATAACCGTTAGAAAC